CGGGCGGCCTGCCCCGGCGCGAGGGCCCCGCCAGGAGCCCCCCCAGCCTCGATTCACGAGCGAGGGATCCGAGTTCCAGCGCCAGGAAGAGCAGAGAGCGGCAGGGAACCAAAGCAGGGAAGGCGTCGGGGGCGACCACGGAGCGGGTCGGGGAGTGGGGGGAAGCGGACGCCTCACCTGCTCCTCTCGAGGCCGCCACTACAGGTCGCTGAGGGGACAACATGGAGCCTCTGCCTTCAGCAGAAGGGGCGCAGAGAGGGGCGGGCTGAGGCGGGCGGGAACCGGGCCCTGGAGGCGGGAAACGGGCGTGGCCTGAGCTCTGGAAGAAACTTGGGGAGAAGGAGGGACTTCGCGGAGCTGCCACCACTGGAGAACCGGGGACGTGTGGACGCGACTTGACAGGCGGCACGGGGCGGGAAAACGCACGCGGCCCTGTCCCGCCACCGCACCGCCGAGTACGCACGCGCAGGCTACCTGTAGCAGTGTACTGGAGGCTCCAGTCCGCTGGGAATTGTAGTCCGGAGCTTTCAGGGCGCGGCCCGCGGCCCTCATTCTGCTCACTCATCCGGGGCGGGGCGGGGGTGGGGCTGGGTGGGATGGGCGAGGGTGTTACGCTACCGAACTACAACTCCCACAAGGCCGTGCGGGGAAGGGAGCGGGAAAGGAGGGACTCTTCCTGCAAATGACTCCGCCCGGTGCCTAGCGTAAAGACCAGGCCCGGGCGGAGGCCGGGGAAGGCTCTTTCCGCGAACCCCCAAACCACCAACGCTAGCCGAAATCTCAGATGGGCGACAGGAAGAAGGCCTCAATCCCGGATGACGTGAACGTTTTTGATGATTTTGACTTCACAAGGACCGGCAGCCCTGACTTCATTACCACCATTATCATCGTTGCCTCCTTTTCCTGACTCATGTCAATGCCTTATGTTCACTATCACCGCTGAGATAGATAATGTGGGGTGGTGTACACCTGTAATCTCAGCAATGGGGATACCGAGGTAAAAAGGATCGAGAGTTCAAGGCCAGTCTAAACTACACTGCAAGTTGAAAGCCAGCCTGAACTATGTAGCCAGCCCCCCTCTCTCTCTCCTTCCTCTCTCTCTCCCTCTCTCTCTCTTCCCCCTTCCCTCCTTCTGTCTCCCTCCCTTTCTTTCTCTCTCCTTTCTTTCTCTCTCCTTCTCCCTTTCTCTCTTTCTTCCTCCCTCCCCACCCCCTCATCTTTTGTAAACCTCAAGCTTACCCAGAACCTTGTTTAGAAACTGTTTTTTCGAACATATCCAAACTGAAGGACAAGATTAGTACAAAATGAAGTTCTCTGAAAAAGATTTTTACTGATACTTCATACAAAATAGGGAAGGTATCACTTGCCACTATAGAAAAATGATTTGGGGATGAGGATAGTTTTTGGGTATAAGTACCTGGTGGAAATTATGGGTAACTAAAACATCCCAGGGTCAACACTATATTACTATGACCTCATTCACTCAACAAATGATTGTACTTTCTTCCTTCAGCCTCAACTTGGAACTATTAGAGCCTACAGCCTAACCTGAATCTCACTCAGCTACCTTGAGCCCTTGAGCTATATTTTTTTTAACTTCTTAAGTGATTGGCCTGAGGTAGAAAAGAAGTAATTCTGCCTTATCCTATCTAAAGAGAACTTGTTTTAGTTCCATCTCCCCCTGGCTTTCTGATTATCCTCACACTCTGCAAGATTGTTTGGGAAATCTATGCCAGGCATTGGTGGCTCATACCTGCAATCCTAGTTATTCAGGAGGCTGAGATCTGAGGCTCATAACTTGAAGCCAGCCCAGGCAGGAAAGTCTATGAGGCTCTTATCTTCAATTAACCAACAACAACAAAAGCCAGAAGTGGAGTTCAAGCCCTAGGATGAGAATAAATAACTTTTTTTGGTCAGTTGTGGGGCTTGAACTTGGCCTGGGTGCTGTCCCTAAGCATCTTTGTGCTACGACTTGAACCACAGCACCACTTCTGAGTTTTGAGTGGTTTATTGGCGATATGAGTCTCTCGGGGAGTTTTTCTAGCCTCCTGAATAGCTAGGATCATAGGCGTGAGCCACTGGCACCCAGCAATTAATAAATTTTTAAAAATTAAATCTAAGTCAGATCTAGGCCAACTAGAGACAACAAGAAACTAGAGAAGTGAATGAACATCAGGGCAAGAGGTTATTGCTATGTAGAAAGCATTAGGAAATCACACAAATACAGGGCATGCTCTAAAAGAAAGGCCAATGACTTGACATAATTACAACTCATTGTATAAGAATTTGAAATTGGGGCTGGGAAGTTGACTCAGTGGTAGAGTACTTGACTTGCATGCATACAGCCCTAGGTTCTATTCCTCAGCACCAAATAAGCAGAAAAAAACCTGGAAGTGGCACTGTGGCTCAAGTGGTAGGGCGCTAGCCTTGAGCTGAAGAGCTGAGGGACAGCGCCCAGGCCCAGAGTTCAGCCTCTATGACCAACAAAAAAACAAACAAACAAAAAAGAAGGGCTGGGAAGGTGGCTCAGTGGTAGAGTGCTTGCCTTGCATTCATGAAGCCCTGGGTTTGATTCCTCAGCACCACATAAGTGGTGCTGTGGCTTAAGTGGTAGAGCGCTAGCCTTGAGCTGAAGAGTTGAGGGACAGTGCCCAGGCCCAAAGCTCAGGCCCCATGACAGCAAAAAAAACAAAAAAATAATTTGAAATTGCTTACATATGCCAGCATTCTCTATTCTCCTTCTCCGCACTACAGTTCTCCATGAGACATTGTGTGTGTGTGTGTGTTTGCATGAATGCATGGGCTTGCACATGTGTGGCAGGCAATCCTAGGGCTTGAACTCAGGGCCTGGGCACTGTCCCTGAACTTCCACACTCCAAGATAGTTCTCTACCACTTGAGCCACAGCCCCACCTGTGGCTTTTTTTTTTTTTTTTTTGGTCAATCATGGGGCTTGAACTCTGGGCCTGAGGGCTATCCCTCAGCTCTTCAGCTCAAAGCTAGTGCTCACTTGAGCTGCAGCGACAATTCTGGTTTCTGGTGGTTTATTGGAGATAAGAGTTTCACGATGCCCGAGCTGGCTTTGAACCATGGTCCTCAGATCTCAGCCTCCTGAGTACTAGGATTACAGGCATGAGCAACCGGCGCCCGGCCCTCTGGCTTTTTTTTTTTTTTTTGGGGGGGGGGTCTGGTCGTGGGCCTGAACTCTGGGCCTGGGCACTTTCACTCAGCTCTTCAGCTCAAGGCTAGCAGTCTACCACTTGAGCCACAGCACCACTTCTGGCTTTTTAATTTTTTTGCTTATGTGGTGCTGAGGAATCAAACCCAGGGCCTCATGCATGCAAGGCAATCACTCTACCACTGAGCCACTTTCCCAGCCCAAATACCTAACTTTTTCTATGGAAAAATCCTCCCTGTTGTATGTTAAGGACTCCCAATAAAGCTGCACTGAAATCCATCCCATTGGGAAGTAAAGAGAAAATACTGGCATTATAACAGTCTTGGCACAACATCCTCAATGTCACAAGGGGCATCAGCCTTCCTCATACCTGGAAGAAGCTTGTAGCATTTGAAACAATATATTACGGAAGTGGCGCTGTAGCTCAAGTGGTAGAGCACTCGCCTTGAGCTGAAGAGCTGAGGGACAGCGCCCAGGCCCAGAGTTCAAGCCCCATGACAGACAAAAAATAAATTAATAAATAAAATAAAATAAAATATCAGCCTTGAACATCACAATAACAACAACAAAAAAAATATATTACATTTTAGGTGGATTTTAGGATTAGTCACAGCTTAGAAAGCAACCTCCTCCCACATGAGAAACATATTTTGCTGTTTTTACTTATTTTCAAGTATCCAGAATCATCACAACAAAGGACATTTAAAATGCTAAATATTGATTAAATCGATTATAGCTGCCTTCAGCCATCTCATTTTGAATTGGATTCCATGACATGACCAGGGATTGATCTGTCCTTGTGTTCTACTAAGAGGTGACACATAGACACATTTGAATGGGTAAAACTATTGGCTTTGGGTCAGACTAACCTGGAAATGAATTTTGGCTCTAATGCTCATTAGCTGTGCAAGCTTGGATGAGTTAATTAGTCTCTGCTTCGTCATTCACAAAATACAAATACCCACAAAATTGCACTGATGACTTATGTGTGGATAATGCTGAATAGTTATCATCATGTTCATGTGGCAAAACAAAGCCATAAATAGTCAAACTTCATATTTTATAAAGCACCAAATAGCAAAATTATTTTCTACAATGATGCCCACTGTGACTCAGGTTCCAAAGCTTTCCAAAAACAGAGCATTTATGTCCCAGGCACTATGCTAGGCAATAATGAATCTGCATAAAACACATTCCTGTCCTCCCAAAGACTCAATGTCTTATAACAAGTAAATATCACTCCCCATGATTGTACTGGGACAAAACAACTTAGAACAGAAGTTATCTCCCTGGACACCATTTAAACATCTACCTACAGTTTAGGGTGTACTAGAGCACGTGCTTAGCATGAATAAGGCCCTGTGTCTTACCCCTAGCCTGTGGTTCAAGTGACAGAGTACTATCCTTGAGTGAAAAAGCTAAGGGAAAGGCCCAGGCCATAAGTTCAAGCCCAAGGACGGGCACCAAAAAAAAAAGGTGCACTGTCTTATACCAGCAGTTCTTTATGCATCCTGTGTTTATAGATTGCATCAACAGGCCACATGGAATGTTCAGCGGAGTTTTATGAAAGTACATTCTATGCTGTTACCATGAGGATGAAATTGCCTAATGATAGAGTTCTCAAAACATATCCCTATCATTAATTGACTCATCAGTGTATATACACTATTGATTATTTATATTGGTGCTAAGGATCAAATTAGGACCTTCTGCATGCTAAAAAAAAAAAAGCACTCTAACATTGAGCTAGACCCCAGATCTATATGTATGTATGTATATGTTTGTATGTATGTAAATTATATGTAAATGTATTTTTTGCGTGTTTTTGTTTTTGTTTTTGCCAATCCTGGGGCTTGAACTCAGGGCCTAAGCAAGCACTGTCCCTGAGCTTTTTTTGCTCACTTAAGCCACAGTGCCACTTCTGGCTTTTTCTGTTTATGTAATGCTGAGGAATTGAACCCAGGGCTTCATGTATGCAAGGCAAGGACTCTACCACTAAGCCATATTCCCAGCCCCTATTCTTTTGTTTTTTTAGAAGGATTGTACTATATAGCCTAGGCTGGTCTTGAAGTCACAGTCCTGCCTCAGGTCTCTGGAGTGCTGTGCTTACAGGTCTGCACCATGATGTTAAGCCTCTCATTTTTTATTTTTGTCAACCATGGGGCTTGAACT